TAAACCAGAACCCCTCCCCTGTTGGCCCCCCCCCCGAGCACCAAGAATACAGAGCATCACTTCCCCCAGACCAAGAGCTCCTATCTATACCTTGTGGCAAATAGCCACTGATGGACTTCTGCTCTATATGTTGATCCAATTTCCTCTTGAAGTTGTCCATGCTTATAGCTGCCGCCACTGGCACAGCTGTCCTTGAAAAAGAGCCGTTTCTGTCAGAGCTCTCTCAGTCCCACACGCCTCACAGGGTGTTTGTTGTGGGGAGGGGAAGGGAAAGGAGTTTGTAAGCCGCTCTGAGACACCTTTGGGTAGTGAAGGGTGGGATATAAATCCAATCTGTTCTTCTTCTTTTGTCTGTTCTAATCCGACCGCTCAGCAATTTCATGGAGTGCCCAAGAGTTCTTGTATTGTGAGAAAGGGAGAAAAGTACCTCTTTCTCTACCTGCTCTATCCCAGGCACAATCTTGTAAACCTTGATCATGTCTCCCCTCAGTCGTCGTTCCTCCAAGCTAAAGAGCCCTAAGTGCTTTAACCTTTCTTCATAGAGAAAGTGTTCCAACCCTTTTATCATTCTAGTTGCCCTTTTCTGCACTTTTTCCAATGCTATAATACCCTTCTGAGGTGTGGTGACCAGAACTGCACAAAGTACTCCAAATGAGGACGCACCATTGATTTATATAGGGGCATTATGATATTGGCTGATCTGTTTTCAGTTCCCTTCCTAATCATCCCCAGCATAGTGTTGGCCTTCTTTATTGCAGTCGCACACTGTCTCGACATTTTAAGTGAGTTATCTACTATGACTCCAAGATCTCTCTCTTGGTCAGTCTCTGCCAGTTCGGACTCCGTCAATGTGTATTTATAATTAGGACTTATAGTTACACGTATCCGGGGATTGAGAAATATCCTTTTAGCTTTACATTCCAGAGTCTGGGTTCTCACCTGTGTCTCTCTTCTCCCGACAGCACAAAATCTTTATGGGAGAAACTCCAAACCCTCCAGTGTCATTTCAACTGGTGCTTCGAGCTGAGGGATGAGATGAACATCGGTCACATCCTCAACATGGTGGCTCTCAAGGTGGAGCACACGGCCTATCACAACCGCGGCATCTACCTGGCCATGAGGGCATACCTGCAGCAGCTGCAAGGGAATTACCTGGAAGCGCTGGACAGCCTCCGAGAAGCAGAAACGAGACTCCAGCAAGACCAGCCGGACAACTTCTCCCGCCAAGCCTTGCTGATTTATGGGAACTACGCCTGGATCTATTACCACTTGGTCAACTACCAGATGGTGGAGCTCTACTTGGGCCGGATTTCTGAGATCTGCCGGTCCCTTTCCAGCCCAGAGCCATACTCTGTGCAGATCCCCGAGATCCATGCGCAAAAAGGGTGGACCCTCCTGGCCCTTGGCTTCCGAAAGGGGGAAGAGGCCACCGAGTGTTTCCAAACGGCACTCCGAGAAGACGAGTCCAACCCGGACTTCCAGGCCGGTCTGGCAATCTCTGTCTTTGCTTCCTGGACTCACTCTTTCAAGTCTTACCTTTGGGAAAAGGCCAGAAGGTTGCTGGAACAGATTCTCTGCCGCCAGCCCCAAAACTATGAAATCAAAACGCATTTGGCTGATCTGCTAGAGAGAAAAGACTGGTGGAGGTCCATGGACCTCACAATGGACGTTGCCCGCAACAGCCTCAACCCTGAAGATCTGCGAAACGCCGCCAAGCTTTGTAAGAACAACCTCCTCCCCCGAGCCATCAGCATTTTGCAACGAGCAATCGCCCTGGCTCCCGGGTTCCACCTCCTCCACTACGACCTTGGCGTCTGCTACAAGGCGCAGCTGAAAGGAGGAGCCCCGGAGGAGAGAGAAGAGATCTTGGCCGCCGCTATCGAGAGCTTCCAGCGGGCCGTGGAAGCCAATCCTCAGTCTATATTTTCCCGGCTGGAGCTGGCTCAGCTGTATAGTGAAAAGACCCTGCTTTACGCGGAAGAGATGTACCAGAACCTGCTGGAGGAGCTCCCGAAGGCCAGCAAGCGGTGCCAGCAGGCCATCTATCTGCACTGGGGGGACTTCCTCCTCCACAGGAAGGGGCTGAGGCGGGAGGCGCTGGAGATGTATGAGGCTGGCTACTTGATCCTCAGCGGCCACTGCAAAGAGTGGCACCTTCTGAGACAGAGGCTGATGAAGATGGCCAAGAAGTTCGAGGAAGACTCTGAGATGGGCGGAGTGGAGGCGGTCTTTGAGACCCTTCGGCTGAGACCCGAGTTCCAGAAGTAAACGGGGAGGCGGAATTTAGGTGGGAGACTAGCTCAGTTTTGAGGATCATCTGTAATTGGCTTAAGTCTCTATAGGTCGATTGCTCTTCCCAGAAAGCTTTGTGTTGAACCTCACTCCGCTCTGTTTGCCATGGAGGCGGGTGACGGGGAATTCCAGAGAAGAGGGGAGTGAATGGTGAGTGAGTGGGGACCTTTCGCGCCTAGCTGCCTGTAACTCTCTCCTGACGATGCCTCCACTTTTCTCTTGCTAGAATGTGGATGTCCTTGAGACGGTTGGTGCCAGCTTTGCCTAGATAATGGG